TTCCTTCCACAGTATTTGCGAAGAATATTGAGAGCATACCTGTCGGACCGTTGTCTTATTTATCGTGACGGAAGGGGTATGCTCTGTAAGAAGGGAATGGAACGTGGAGTCCCCCAGGGCTCGGTACTGGGCCCATGTCATGATCGCGTATGCCGATGACACGTTCGTCCTGGCTGGTGGCATCGACTGGCAAGAAGTCCAGCTGATGGTGGGCGAGGCGATCATAATCCAGCAAATAGAGAGCCTGGGGCTGAAAATCTCCGCAGAGAAATCGGACGCAATTTACTTCCGCGGAAGCAGAAGTCGCAGACCTCCGGCAAATATATATGTCAGAGTGGGCGACGCAAAAGTGAAAGTGAAGGATACGATCAAGTACCTGGGAGTAACTATCGACCGATGGACTTTCGAGAAGCACTTTAAAGCTCTGAGCGGTAAATTGCTCCGTACAACATCCATGCTGAGCAAGATACTGCCCAACCTGGGAGATCCTAGCGTCGGGGTTAGACGTCTCCATGCGACGGTAATTGACTCAATGGCGCTTTATGCAGCCCCTACGTGGGCGGATAAGGTCCAGAAAAATCGCGCCATCCAAAGGACCCTAAACCAGGCGCATCGAAAAATAGCCTGCAGAGTTATCAGAGGCTACAGGACGATCAGCACTGCCACTATGTTGGCTGGCTCTTCGTCTATCATCTTGAAAGCGGAAATGCTTGCGAAAGTCCATGATGCAGTAAAGGAGTGCCGCGCACCATCAGACAGGTCCCTGCTAAGACATTGGACCTCATTCTAAGACGTGCGAGAACAAACATGTACGCAAAATAGGAAGCCTGGTCCCAAAAGCCCGGTCAGACAAGAGGAGAAGTGGGACTTGCCCTTAGACCGTTCCTTCAACGTTGAAGTGAGGAGAAGGTGGGGCTGTCTTTCCGCAGCACCCAAATATTGACGGGGCACGGATGTTACAGCCATTTCCTGGCATCGAATTAAAAAAGAGAATTCTCCGAAGTGCTGGTACTGCCCGGCAATGATGGATAAAGCACGGCACACCATCGAGCAGTGTCTCGATGGGACGAAGAAAGACGCGAGCTCGTCACAGTCATCGGGCATGACTTATCATATAATGTCATGATACGCGCTATTCTACACGAAAAGAAGAGACCGGCGGTGCTAAAGTTCTGCGAACGCATAATGAGCGCCAAAGAAGGTGCACAAAGAATAAGGAAGGGAATGGTCGAGATCCCACAAGGAAACGCCAGTGGGTCTGGAATCAAAAAAGAAAGATGACTGCCTAGTCATGGACGACGAAAAATCGGACGGTAACAGGCCATCGTGAGGGGTGGAGGGGGAGGGAGCGGGGGCTCCCTCTTCTCTACAAACACGAACAGGAAAGAATAGCCGGGGGAGATAGTGTCCCTCCCCTCTGTTGTTAACAAAGAAAGGAAGCGTTTCGGTGCTTCGAGGCGTGAATGGAGGAGGTGAATACCGATGTTTAGAGCCCTCCTCTACTCGCAATTAAAGCGTCTTCCGCAGGACACTCGCTGGGGTTTTAGTGAATAGTCTCCGGGGCCTTTTAGTCTCCGGAGGAGTCCCACATAACCCGGCCCTCCCCCTGAGAGGGCGGGTATGCGTAAACGCATTTCCCCAGCGATAACAAAAAAAATTGGATTATTGCCTGTTCAGTTATCTTTTTATTACTGGTACGTTGACGATATTATCTTAGCAGCCCCATCCGAAAGCATTAATGACATCTTAAACATTTTTAACTCGTTACACACAAGATTACAATTTACTATGGAAGTTGGCAAGGAAGGTAAAATAAGTTTTTTGGACACTTTAATTATTGTTAATGAATGTAATTTAATATTTGATGGCTACCGTAAAGCCACTTTTTCTGGCAGATTCCTTAATTTTCAGTCTCAACATTCGATCTGTCATAAGAGAGAAGTTATATACTATAGTGTTATAAAATAGTTCGCTTGTGCCATCCAACTTTTCAACAGAACAATTTGACTGATATGCCATTAATATATTTTTGAACAACGGATACCCTCTTCAATTTATTTTTTCGACAATTCAGAATAGAATAAAATACCATATTAATAATATTAATATGAATAATAATATTTTGCTAAATAAATTTGTCGCTATTCCGTTTGTCAGTTCTATTTCTGAAAAATTTAAACCTATAAACTAATGTGGTTGATTGTAAATTGGCGTACACCATTCCCAACACACTTAAAGACTACATAAAAAAGGGAAAAGATAAACTAGAACATACAAAGAATCAGAATGTAGTTTATAAAATATCTTGTGAAAATTGCGAAGCAAGCTATGTAGGCCAAACTAAGAGACAATTAAGAACAAGAGTAAATGAACATGTCTCTGATATTAACAAAGGTTCAAAATCCCCTTCGGTAATTACTAATCATAAAATCGAAACGAATCATTTCAAATGGAATAGTGTAAAGATATTGGATATAGAACCTTCTTACAGAAAACGATTAATTTCTGAGATGGTGAACATTAAGAAACAAACACACGGTATAAACAGACAAAACGATACAGAGTCATTGCCCTACACGTATACTAATATGATACATTCCCTTTCCATTTCTTAAATTTGTCACGGTTCCTGTCTTCTCTCGACATTCTGCCTGTACATTACATTACTTGACGTGATTAAGAGTGGTCGCGTAAATAAGTGCAAAATAGTTTAAACTTATAAAATGCAGTCACAACGCAATGAAATAACATATCACAGGATTTATTATATTAACTGACGAAGTAAAAAAGTTTTTGTTACATATTATAATATGTGTTCTTTATATATAAATTTAGGATTCACATTTTACAAAAAATTTTTTCCTAGATATAATTTTACTTGCAACCTCAACAAAATTTAAACTTATATTTAAACTTATAAAATGCAGTCACAACAATGAAATAATAACATATTACGAGATTTATTATATTAACTGATGAGGTAAAAAACTTTTTGTTACATATTATGACAGGTGTTCTTTATTTGTAACTTTAGGATTCACAATTTGCATAAATCTTTTCCTAGATATATTTTTACTTGCAACTTCGACAAAATCTAAATTGGACAACTTACAACTTTCATATTAATGACAAGATTATGCTTTCGATATCAGGATATGTTACAATTAATTTATTCATTTTTTAAAGAATTTACAAATGTAACCGTTATTTATGATATATTTTTATGTACATTGAAAATGACCCGATCGGAGTCGAAACATTTGTAATATTATTATTTTAATTAAATTTGTTCGTTGTAATACTGGTTCTATGCTCTGTTAATATTTATATTGTTTTATACATATTGAGCCTTATTATTACTTTAGCTTATTATATAATTCAGACCCAAGCTGTTGATTGAGTTCATATTCAGAACTCGATCGGTCTAACTGTTATTAAAAAACCGATAATTTTGAATGCTTGCAACTCGTTGACTCGCGTAAAGACACGGTAGTGTCTCGCACTGCGCGCCCACTTGGCGCGAGACACTACCGTGTCTCTTGATAGACTGGAAATTAATAAAAACAAAATATTTCTTTTATTACCGACAAACATTTCCAAAGTTACGCTTAATTTTTTAGGGAACTTTTATTGTTACAAGAATGAATATTATCAATAACACTTACGAGACCGACTATTAAAGACCGACATTCTTACGGGAGTTGGCGGCGGAGAAAAATTTCGCCGTCTGCTAACGCCCTCAGTAATGTTGTAGCCAGAATAGAAAACAAAATTAAAAATCGATAAGATTGATTGAACGCAGTGGATACATTTAGCAATCCCTTGCTATTTAGCGATTATATCAAGAAAATTTATACAGCAAGTAAAAATTGTAAAAATTAGGAAAGTAATAACAAATTAAAAGATTCTAGTTGGGCTCTTGAAATATAATCAAATAAAGAACGACTAAAAAAGGGCACTTAAGAGCCTTAAACGCAGTAATTAGTGCGCGAATCAAAAGTATAAATATATTTCTAGTTAATATTCCATACGTACTATACAAATCTGAACGTTTCGGCTATCTTCAAGCCATCTTCAGCAGTCTCCATTATAACAATAAATTAATCAGTTCGCAATAATGAAGCCATGGGATGCAGTAAGTAAGTCTCTCAGATTGCCACGTCCGGAGAGTACGTAACCGTCAGTTAGCTAATTAACTAAATGCGAGCTGTATCAAGAATGAAATCATTAATAGACAATCATTAAAAACGTAATAACGGTTTCATATGAAGATTTACCTCTGCACACCATAACCACCAACATTATAAATTAAATAATTTAAAAATATTAATAAATTAGAAACATTCATATTCTTCGTAAGAAAATAACGTTTGCAGTGTCACAAACAAAGTCAAATTGTATAAAAGAACACTAAG